GAAATGTTCTACGCTGCGAGGTGAAACTAAAGTATCACACTCCTCGAGCAAATCTCCTTATTTACACAGAGAAGAGAAAAGAATTTAGAAATTAAAATTGAGCGAATCGCAATCGTCTCGATCCTTTTCGATGAACGTGGCGTAAAAATGAGATAATAAAAGTTTCTAAAAATATTGAAATCTAAGCGTGGACTTGGTTAAAAGAAGAAGATGGACGATGCAGGAACCGGATTTACCATTCAACTTCTCTCCTTGAATTCTATCGAACGACGATATTTGAAACTCACGATCAGTAATGAAATTGATTTCCACATTAAAATTGGCACGTTCCTGTAGGCAAGCAAGATAAGTATCACGATTGACATTTATAGGTTGTCGCGGGTCAGCAACGACGAGGCTCGCCTTTCCTGCAACATTATCATTCCGCTAATTGACAGCCTGACATTTTCTGCCCGTCGTTTCGGACATTTTCGGAGGCTTAACGCGCTCCACGAGCTAAAGAAGCAATTAATCTCGGCTTAATTCCGTGAATTAAACCGTGAATCACCCGTTTCATCCCTCCCGATCGAGCCTTCCTTGTGTAAAACTTTCGCACAAAGTTAGCCGCGTATGCTTCTGTTTATGCTGCTTGTTAACAACGTTTGATCACCTTTTTTTTCCAGATATATTTCTTTTCCTATTTCTTCTCATCTTTGCGAGGACATCAACATTCTTTACGGAGGAAAGTTCCCTTTCTTTTTACTTTACTAAAGATAGAACTTGCTACTACGAAAGGACTGTTTATCAGATCTAACATTCAGGTGCCAACATTATGAAAACAGAAGAGGCAAGATCTGCAAAGTGAACTTTCGAGACAATTAATTTCAGATGGTACGAGTTTGAAAAAACGATTAATAGGAAAATACTGAGACCATGGGAGATAAAAATATCAGAATCTAAGAGCACCACCTCTTGAGAAGCCACATTGTAAATACAATATAAGTATCGTATCGTCTGAAAGAAATTGGTATTGAAACAGACGAGATACCAAATTGTATGAACACGGCCGCCGTGTCTTTTGCTACCTGTTGCCGAACGTTAGAGGTCGCGATCGTGTCTGGAAGGAAAGAAAAGGGGGATATCGCGAGCTGACAATCCCGGAGCGTTTCCGGTGGAACACGAAGGCATAGGCGGAGTCTGCGGAACACGTCGTGCTCCCAGTTGGGGTGAATCCTAATACCCAGATAATGGGAAGTAATTGCGAGGGATCAGAGCCAGAGCGAGCGAAGCTTCTCTCTCTCTCTCTCTCTCT